TGAAAGAGTTCCAGAAGAAATTTGGTAAAGACATTCGTGACAATAAGCGTGCATTGCGTCGCCTGAGAACAGCATGTGAACGTGCGAAACGTACATTGAGTTCGAGCACCCAAACGAATCTGGAGATTGACTCGTTGTGTGATGGTATTGATTTTTACACGTCGATTACTCGTGCACGATTTGAGGAGTTGAATGCCGATCTATTCCGTGGTACATTGGGTCCTGTTGAGAAGGCTTTGCGAGATGCTAAGATGGATAAGGCCCAAATTCACGAAATAGTGTTGGTTGGTGGTTCCACTCGTATCCCTAAGGTACAGAAGCTGTTGCAGGACTTTGTGGTGGATCAAACAGATATGAACACAAAAAAATATAAACAAAGTTATTAAAATCAATAGTAATATTAATATATATAATTAATTGTCACAAATACAGTAAAAATTGGGGACGTTACTTAAATTGATCAGACGTCGCGTGTTAGGGTTAGGTCCAGTAAAGTAAATCCACAATTATAAATGTTTGTTGATTCTGAACAAGTTGGTGAACTCTCTAATGATATAATCCAACGTTGAATGTGATATATTTCGGTTACAGTCTATAAATGAAGATAGAATTTGATTTAGACTTCGGATATCCCAATCACAAATGGAAATAGAACGATGAGTGTGCGAGAAGCGTTGTATTTGTTAGCTAGCAGCGGTATGGCACGCAATGTAGTAGTACAACGGAAAGTGTGTTCAAGGTCATTTACTAAAACAACAGTTACAGTCATTTAATGTTAAATATACATACAGTGGAAGGTTGACAAAGTAAATACAAATAACATTGAAAACTATTTACAAAATAAGCTTGACAGGTCCATCTCCACATAGCTCCCCCCAGAGTGTCCGGAGGTAACACTGGTTATAATAGAAAAAATGTAAGGGTGTGATATATACATGTATACAAAAATAATATTTACAGTTATAACCAACAAAAATGTGGAGATGAGTATGACGTGTAGTAGAGATGTAGCATAGTATAATAAGCACACACACAAAAAAAAAATGAAGACACTGTCATTTAATGCCTTGGTTGGCTGACAATGATAATAATAATGTGTAAAAATGCTAAAGAGCCAAAAAAAATTGAACTGTTTATGTTTGTATACGATAAATGAATAACTAAACAGAGTTTACTCGTTTATTAGTGTGACAAAAACAAAACAAAATTTTTTTTTTTTTTTTAAAAACTGACAAAACGAGTAATTGTGGAAAAATGTGATTATGTACACTGTGAAAAGGAAAAAAAAATTTTTTTGGGTGAAATTATTAGTGTGTGACATAGAGAGGTGTGTGTTTTGCTTTTTTTTAATCAACGAAATGGACATAACGCTTGGGTTTGTTTATAGGTCTACCGGAGCGTGTTAAACAAGGGGGCTTAGTATTAAGTTTTTTATCCTCCATTGGTTGTTCAGTCGCTGGTGGGAGGGGTTGATTATCAACGGCGTTGTCTTCCTTGACTTGAGTAGCTTCACAGAAAGCAGGTTTTATTCTGTCTATAGAAATAGTCTGCTTGTTGCCATCTCTGTTGACGATGAAGTATTTTTGTGTGCGTTTAATTACTTTATATGGACCTTTATATGGTTGTTTCAATGGTTTTTTAACCGTATCTACTCGGACAAAGACAAATTTGCACGTTTCAAGGTTTTTATCAAGTTGGACTCGATTGTTGTGTTCACGAGGGGGTATTGCTTTAATATTCTGCATAGTTTGTAATAGGCGACTTGCGAAGTGAGTAGTCTCTCCTGGCGTTGTAGGTTCATAGTTGACTAGTTGGCCAGGTAACGTTAGAGTTGTACCATAGACTAACTCGGCGGCTGTACATCCAATGTCTTCCTTTATGGTTGAACGAATACCGAGGAGTACAAGTGGTAATGCGTCACTCCATTTGGTTGTATCATCTTGGGCCATCAGCGAGCTTTTTAATTGGCGATGAAATCTTTCAACCATGCCATTAGCTGCTGGGTGGTAAGCTGTTGTTTTGATGTGGTTCACGCCCAGAAGTCTTGTAAATTCCTGAAACAAGATAGACTGAAACTGGGGACCACGGTCTGTAGTGACGATAGAAGGTACTCCGTAATTTGCTATCCAACGCTCAAGGAAAACGCCAGCTATCGTTTCTGCGGAAGTGTCTTTTATGGGGCAGGCTATGGCCCATCTTGTAAATCTGTCTACTGCGGTGAGAATGTGGGTAAAGGAATTGGACGGGGGCAGTGGCCCAACTAAATCCAAATGAATATGTTGAAAACGTTTGTCGGGAATAGGAAATTCGCCGATCGGGCTGATAGTATGTTTTTGTATTTTGCTGCGTTGACACTGGAGGCAGCTACGTGTCCAACGCTTAACGTCCGAGTTGATTTTCGGCCACACAAAACGTTCAGTGATGAGCCTTGTTGTTGCTCTGATGCCTGGATGTGAAAGACCATGTAAGTGCTGAAATATTTTTCGTCTGCAGGCATGTGGGACAAACGGACGATTGCTGCCTGTTGAGGTGTCACACATGATGAATGCATCTGAAAGCGGAATTGGTACAGGTTTGAGGTTTAAGCTAGACTTTTCTTTGCAGACTTTCAACTCTGCATCGTCTACTTGAAGTTTAGCCAAAGTTTCAAGGCTGATGTCATGATTGCGTACCATCATATTGATATCTCTCCTAGACAGTGCATCAGCGACAATGTTTGAGTGACCGTTGATAAACCGGATGTCTGTAGTGAATTGGGAGATGTAATCCAATTGTCTTGCTTCTCGTGGCGAGTGTTTGTCATACGATGTGCCAAAAGAATGGCAAAGGGGTTTATGATCCGTCATAATGATGAAATCGCGACCCTGTAACAGAAAACTGAAATGTTTTACCGCTAAATACATAGCCAAGAGTTCGCGTCCAAAAGTGCTATAACGTTCTTGTGTTGGTGATAATCTCTTGGAGAAAAAGGCGATTGGGGTAATCGAGTTGTTTACTCGCTGTTGTAATACCGCCCCGACGGCTTTTTGTGAAGCGTCTGTGCATAGGATCAACTGTGTTGTGGGGTCAGTATTTAGATGTTGAAGCATGGTAGCATTAGCAATCATGGATTTAGCTTTTTCGAATGCTACTTTAGCATCAGAAGGTAACTTAAATATTTGGTTTTTTTCTTTCTTGGTACCTGATTTATCATTTTTCAGTAAATCTGTCAATGGCTGTAGTACATCGGCGCAATTTGGTAGAAATCGACGATAAAAATTGCATGTTCCCAGAAAACGACGTAGTGATTTTACTGAGGTTGGTTCTGGGTAGCTGGAGATGGCTTTGACTTTTTCTTCAAGCGGTTTAATTCCTTGGGAATCAATATGGTGTCCTAGGAATTCCAGAGATGAGGCTCCAAATATGCACTTCGAAGGGTTGATTACAACACCATAACTTTTGAAACGTTCAAAAAGCGTGTGTAAATGCTGGACATGTTCTTCAGTGGAAGAACTAGCGATTAAAACGTCGTCGATATAGACAAATACAAATTCCAAACCTCTAGTTACTTCATCCATATATCTCTGAAAGGTTTGAGCGGCGTTTTTTAGTCCGAAAGGCATCCTCAAAAATTCAAACAAGCCAAAAGGTGTAATTACAGCTGTTTTTTCGATATCTTCAGGCGCCATCGGTATTTGATGGTATGCTCGGACTAGATCTAACTTTGAAAAAATCTGTTTTCCATGTAAATTTAAAGAAAAATCATGTAAATGAGGGATTGGATACCTGTCTGGGATAGTCTGGTTATTTAGTCGGCGATAATCTCCACATGGGCGCCAGTCTTGATCTTTCTTGGGAACCATATGCAACGGCGAGGCCCAAGGACTGTTAGATTGTCTGATTATCCCAAGCTGCATCATGTGTTCGAATTCTCTCTTAGCGAACTGCAACTTGTTTGGTGGGAGTCTTCGCGCCCTAGCACGAATGGGTGGTCCTGTAGTAGAGATATTGTGTTGAACATGATGTGTGGAGCATTCGTTTTGGTAATCAGTTCTGGTTATGCTTTCGTACTTCGACAGGATATCAGTGAAAATTTTGTTTTCAGGTCTTAACATTCGAACACCATGAATTTCGTAATTCGAGGCAGGAGTGCCACTGACCTGCAAACTTGTGTTCTTGTCAATAAGCTTCTTTTTCCCCATGTCTACCAATAGGCTGTAAGCACCAAGAAAGTCGGCCCCGAGAATGGGTTGTTTAATTTCAGCTACGATGAAAACCCATGTGAAACGTCTACGGAGACCAAAATCTAAGATGAGTGATTGTTCACCATAAGTTTTAATGACTGTGTTATTAGCAGCGACTAGAGACAATTTAGTACTTTGCGAGTGCCGTCGTTGAGAAAGGTGTAATGGGACTATGCTGATTTCGGCTCCTGTATCGACCAAAAAATCTGAGCCCGAAATCCGATCCCTGACGTGAAATAGACGGCTCGGGTAGTGGCCAGAAACAGGCGCCGCCATCACTGTCTGGCCGTCTCGTTTCCCTGGTCCTTTGGGTTGCTTATTTTAAAGTTGCATGGTTTAGTGCAACGGCGTGCCTTCTCCCCGAAAGTCGCGTGATACCAGCAAGTATCTGATGTCCGTTTGGGTGACCTAAGACGAGGTCTGGATACTGATCTCCTTCTGGACCTAGATCTGGCAGGTCGAGAATGTATGGTAGAAATAGTCGCTTGTAGTGCTGCTAGCTGTTGTGTTAACTGTGTTATTTGTTGTTGGATGCTGTTAGATGGGCTAATCGTGTCTCCACTAGAGGTCTGTAGTACATTCAAACGTTGGCTGTCGGGATAAATCTCCATCATTTTGTCAGCCATATCAGCTAGATCGTCGAGATTGACGGAAGTTCCTGATATGCTGAGAATTTGGGTGACATTCTGTGGTAAACGTTGAAACCACATCTGTTTAAGCAATGCATCGTCTACCTTATATGGCCCTGCTAAGTGTTTCATATGTCGGAGTAATTGCGAGGGTCTCTTGTCCCCCAATTCGCAAGAAGTTAGCAATTGCTGCAGTCTTCTCTCATCTGAAACCGAGGTGCGTTGGATTACGGCTGTCTTTAATTTATCATAAGGTTCAGCTTCTGGCACGTGATCGATTAAATCTCCGACTTCCGCAGCAATCTCGATAGGGAGTGCCCCAACTACATAAGCATACTTTGTTGCCTGAGATTTTATACCTCTAGCCATGAACAAAGCTTCGATTTGTGCAAACCAGATTCTGGGATTATTAACGCCGAACGTTGGTAGTCTTAAGTCTGAAATTGCGTTGATCGAGGTTAAGGCATTATCTTCTGACTGTGAAGAGTTCAAGGAGTTGATCAGTGGACTATCTATATCAATGAGTTTACCAGGAGAATTCATGATGGCAAAAACAAATATAAATGGACTAGCGTGCCAAGTAATAAAAAAATGAATATATATATAAACAGTAAACGTCTATAATGAATTCAAGGCTCACCAAATAATTGTGGTGGACCAAACAGATATGAACACAAAAAATATAAACAAAGTTATTAAAATCAATAGTAATATTAATATATATAATTAATTGTCACAAATACGATAAAAATTGGGGACGTTACTTAAATTGATCAGACGTCGCGTGTTAGGATTAGGTCCAGTAAAGTAAATCCACAATTATAAATGTTTGTTGATTCTGAACAAGTTGGTGAACTCTCTAATGATATAATCCAACGTTGAATGTGATATATTTCGGTTACAGTCTATAAATGAAGATAGAATTTGATTTAGACTTCGGATATCTCAATCACAAATGGAAATAGAACGATGAGTGTGCGAGAAGCGTTGTATTTGTTAGCTAGCAGCGGTATGGCACGCAATGTAGCAGTACAACGGAAAGTGTGTTCAAGGTCATTTACTAAAACAACAGTTACAGTCATTTAATGTTAAATATACATACAGTGGAAGGCTGACAAAGTAAATACAAATAACATTGAAAACTATTTACAAAATAAGCTTGACAGGTCCATCTCCACAAAGTACTATAGAAGTCATCGCGGTGTTTGGCAATATGCGTTAAAGAGAGCGAACATTATTCGTATGCCGATTCACGAGCTGCTAAATTCTAGCTGCCGATTATTAATCAACAAACTGGAATATCGGCAATTCCTACTTAGTCAAAATACGTACCGTAATTGTGGTGTCATCACAAATCAAGAATCTTGGTTGAATGATTTACAGGATGACTGCCTTGTATCACTACGTGACCTGATCTAATATTCATGAACTCAAGATAAATCACAACTGCATAAGTTCTTTGCTAAAAAACATGTAATTTGGTTATTTATCTCTTCCACATTTCTGACTAAGTTCATTACTATTTTCTCATTTAGAATGCAACAGGACTGAGCCTTCACAGATCCTAAGAACTGTTTCGCCCTTAGAACTATGGCCCTATGAAATTGTTTACGGGAGACATAACTAACAGCAGATTATAAAAAGGATGCTGGATGTGCATTTTAGTCTGACGACCACTTCCAGTACTTTTTGAGTTACTTCTTTTACTCTTTCGTTTGGAAAAAAACAACAAAAGCTTGAGCTTAACATTATCAATGCAACTTTTAAAGGGGAACATGGTTTAAAACTTTGTTTGATATTCGATTCTTAATGAAAGTTCTCGAGTAAATTTTTGAATGTAATGCTACTTTGTTTTATCTACTTAATCGTTGCAAGAAACTTGCGATACACGAGCCTCTCAGCACCTAATGCATGTGTTCAGGCTTCCGTGTCTAGAAGCAGGGGATCATCAAAGCCTCCAGGCAGGAACCTAGGTATGTTAACAATAAAAGAGGAAAAAGAAATTGGCAAATCATAGTATGATACTATCCTTAAGAATAGGTCAAGTTGCCTCCTAAAGGACTCCTGGGATGTCGCTTGGACTAGCTCGGCGGGCATCGAATTCCAGCATTTGACAACTACTAAGGAGTAGAAGTTGTGTCTACAGTAAGTTCTCCTATGTTGTGTCTCCAGTTTCTGGGTGTTACCCCTTAGGTTAGTGTTGGAACTAAGCTTAAGTAGGTGTTTGGGAGGATGTCCAGAAGTGTTAAGGATACTGTCTCCCTGTTAATCTAGATGAAGATGCATGGTAATACTTAAATGAGAGCAAAATAATAAAAGCATTGAGATACGGTACTAAGTCCATGTTATGCTTTGTACAAGTAATAACTGACCTGATCTAATATTCATGAACTCAAGATAAATCACAACTGCATAAGTTCTTTGCTAAAAAACATGTAATTTGGTTATTTATCTCTTCCACATTTCTGACTAAGTTCATTACTATTTTCTCATTTAGAATGCAACAGGACTGAGCCTTCACAGATCCTAAGAACTGTTTCGCCCTTAGAACTATGGCCCTATGAAATTGTTTACGGGAGACATAACTAACAGCAGATTATAAAAAGGATGCTGGATGTCCATTTTAGTCTGACGACCACTTCCAGTACTTTTGGAGTTACTTCTTTTACTCTTTCGTTTGGAAAAAAACAACAAAAGCTTGAGCTTAACATTATCAATGCAACTTTTAAAGGGGAACATGGTTTAAAACTTTGTTTGATATTCGATTCTTAATGAAAGTTCTCGAGTAAATTTTTGAATGTAATGCTACTTTGTTTTATCTACTTAATCGTTGCAAGAAACTTGCGATACACGAGCCTCTCAGCACCTAATGCATGTGTTCAGGCTTCCGTGTCTAGAAGCAGGGGATCATCAAAGCCTCCAGGCAGGAACCTAGGTATGTTAACAATAAAAGAGGAAAAAGAAATTGGCAAATCATAGTATGATACTATCCTTAAGAATAGGTCAAGTTGCCTCCTAAAGGACTCCTGGGATGTCGCTTGGACTAGCTCGGCGGGCATCGAATTCCAGCATTTGACAACTACTAAGGAGTAGAAGTTGTGTCTACAGTAAGTTCTCCTATGTTGTGTCTCCAGTTTCTGGGTGTTACCCCTTAGGTTAGTGTTGGAACTAAGCTTAAGTAGGTGTTTGGGAGGATGTCCAGAAGTGTTAAGGATACTGTCTCCCTGTTAATCTAGATGAAGATGCATGGTAATACTTAAATGAGAGCAAAATAATAAAAGCATTGAGATACGGTACTAAGTCCATGTTATGCTTTGTACAAGTAATAACTGACCTGATCTAATATTCATGAACTCAAGATAAATCACAACTGCATAAGTTCTTTGCTAAAAAACATGTAATTTGGTTATTTATCTCTTCCACATTTCTGACTAAGTTCATTACTATTTTCTCATTTAGAATGCAACAGGACTGAGCCTTCACAGATCCTAAGAACTGTTTCGCCCTTAGAACTATGGCCCTATGAAATTGTTTACGGGAGACATAACTAACAGCAGATTATAAAAAGGATGCTGGATGTCCATTTTAGTCTGACGACCACTTCCAGTACTTTTGGAGTTACTTCTTTTACTCTTTCGTTTGGAAAAAAACAACAAAAGCTTGAGCTTAACATTATCAATGCAACTTTTAAAGGGGAACATGGTTTAAAACTTTGTTTGATATTCGATTCTTAATGAAAGTTCTCGAGTAAATTTTTGAATGTAATGCTACTTTGTTTTATCTACTTAATCGTTGCAAGAAACTTGCGATACACGAGCCTCTCAGCACCTAATGCATGTGTTCAGGCTTCCGTGTCTAGAAGCAGGGGATCATCAAAGCCTCCAGGCAGGAACCTAGGTATGTTAACAATAAAAGAGGAAAAAGAAATTGGCAAATCATAGTATGATACTATCCTTAAGAATAGGTCAAGTTGCCTCCTAAAGGACTCCTGGGATGTCGCTTGGACTAGCTCGGCGGGCATCGAATTCCAGCATTTGACAACTACTAAGGAGTAGAAGTTGTGTCTACAGTAAGTTCTCCTATGTTGTGTCTCCAGTTTGTGGGTGTTACCCCTTAGGTTAGTGTTGGA